TTGTGTGATCTACAAATTGTTGTTCTGAGTCTGGGTGTTCTTTGTGTCCGTTTCATGTATGTTTGTAAAGTCCCCCGCGACACAGGATATATTCCTAATGCGGGATATTAATTAAAAGATATTAATAAAAAAAAAAAAACAGAACGAACACGAACAATGTATTGTACAGTAAAGTCTCAAGAAATAATGTGCCTAATGTTTAGATCCAGTACATACAAAAGTATTTTGCGTCCACAGCTTCGATATAGATATTATATTATAGAAAAGACTAGGGATCTGGTCAATTGCAGCATCTTACCACTGTTTAGGCTTGGTTCGATATCCCTTCTGAAAATGTGGATAAACGTTGTTATTCCAATATTTGGCACCGTTGGGGCCCTGACACGACAACTAGAATTGAATATTGTATTAGGTAATAAAAAAGGAAGGTGCACATATTACATAGATAAAAAAGCCTTATGTTAAAAAAGGCACTTAATTTGATAGATAAGATTATAAATAATTATTTTCTTACCAAGAATATCTCGTTAATAACTTGCATATTCAAAACGAAGGCGATAAATTGAGACTGCGGTTATTTATCTACATTTAATATATGCAGTCATTTAGATATCCCTCACTCCGTCGAGTGCGACGCATTCACTGTATGTGCCTCATTAGGCGACAATAATTTACATAAAGTTTTCGAACACGCTAAGTTATTCATGTACCAAGAACTGGTGTGTTTACGCCATATTATTGCGATCATTGAAAATAAAGTATATTTTATTAAAATTTACGCTTAAAACATGTAAAAATTGTGAATTTTGTGCGTCTATATACCTACACACATATAGACATTATGTAAAGTGGTATTCCCAACTAGATGAACCGAAGACAAAAATACGCCTCGCACAACCAATCTATAAAAAAAAAAACTGGCCTGACGGTCTACTGGCTAGTGACCCTGACTTCTAAGCCAAGGCTGTATGTTCGATACCCACCCAGGACAAATTGGACAACTGTATGATGAGTATGATCATTTGTTCTGTGTCTGGGTCAGTATGGTAAACCTACCCTCATCCCGACTCCAAATTCATTCAAATAGCACTCAAGTAATGTCTATCAAAATTTTCAATAAATTACCCGAAGAAATTAGAAATGAAACCATATCAAATATATATTTAAATAAATTTAAACAATTATTACTACAAAAATGCTATTACAGCATCAATGAATATATCTGAGCAATCAATAAATTAAGCATGTACATAAAAAACTGAAGTATGATTATTATTGTTAGTTTATATTATCTCTCCCTCTCTCGTCTATTGCTGTGCCCAACAGGGTCCATGATGATGTGATCTTATATTTGAGTACCATCTGAGTAAACATTGTGGAATGCAATAAATATATTGAGTATTGAGTATGGTAACCATAGTACAGGCTCTGCCTCGATTGTGATCTGACGGTCGTGTGTCAGCTGTGGGAAGCTATTATTGTTAATCTAATTTTCATCTACGGCATTTCCGGATCAACATGACCTTGAAAGTTTTAACAAAATAGCCGAATGTAAGGCCGATATGTAATTCTTGAGATGAAAGTGTCGGATGAAGTCCCTTACTATCACCCGTCACTCTACTATCAGGCGACCCGTTCACTCGTTTCTGAACACCTGACAACTTGTATGAAAGCACACGAACTAATAAGAAATTAAACAAATTATATTTTATTAGTTTGAATATAGTGGGCACATAGGTTTACACCGTTGACAACAGCTGTAAGATAGCCGACATCGATGCGTTTGATCGTCCCACAGATAAGCATATATTAACATCTTTTACTTCCCCTCACTCTTTCTAAATGATCCTTATCGCTTGTGGCGACAGAATTAAAATAATGAATAAGAATTGACACTATTTTGTATTTTGAAGGGACATCTATTAACTGCAACCAGGTTGTATATAATGCTGTTTTATTTTATAAATACTGTGGTCAGCGGATGTTTATCACTTCGAGTTTAATGTTAGGCATACTTAATTAACTTCTAATATATTTGTTGTTAGTAGTAATAGTGCAAAATGGTTACGTTCATTAGATTGCTGTACTACGATTATTTCATCTTATACATAAAATTCTCGTGTCACAATGTTAGTTACCATACTCCTCCGAAACGGCTGGACTGATTTTTGTGAAATTTTTTGTGCACATCGGGTAGGTCTGAGAATCGGCCAACATCTATTTTTCATACCCTTAAATGACAACAAAAACAACTTCACAACAAATTTTTTTTTTTTTTTTTCAACATTTCCTAGTAGTACGAGTATATGGCAAAACAACGTTTGCCAGGTCAGCTAGTAATATATGTAATGTCTTATAATCCGTGATGAAATAACCAGGATATTATAAAAGAATACTATTTGTTTAGCGATTTAAACATATATCAACAAAATCTTTAATACAGCCTACCAACACAGAAACCTGATCGTTTATTAATTTATATGTTGTTTTAACTTTCTAAGGAATGTCAGTAAGACGCCGCAGGGAATTCGACTTTTAGAGTTATTTTTTTATTTGAACAAGTTTGAATAAAAAATGTCGAGAGTGGATGCTCAGGGTACATGATGGATGTGTCGGCACGGCGGGGGCGGGACGGACCATTAAAAAACAATAAGGCATAGGTTGCACTGTCCGCCACAATTTGTACGCAATGCCACTCATCTTTATAAGATGCCAGATCTTTTAACAGATGATTTTGTATCGTATTTGTACGAGATAAAGTTTGAATTTATTCAAAACACGAATGGGCGTAGCTAGTCCTAGTTTGGACAATCAAAATTGCTTTTGACGTTCAAATTGTTAATTTGTTTTTAATTGATGAGTAACACGTGTGCTTATAGTTTTTTTTCCTTGAGGTTGGCATGCGTTGGCACGACGACGGAGAATATGCTTCAGTCACGGAATTTTCACATACTTTGCTTTTATGGAAACTAAGAACGTTTTGCTTTGTAAATGAGTTTGGAACACGAGTTTTCTTTTTCATATGGCCCACTGTTTGGCGAATTTGAAACACCTTTTATTTGTTGAAAATCAGACAAGTTTGCCTAATAAATTGGTAGCAAAATATTAATTTTGCTTGTTACGAATATAAAGATACTGCACGGATGGCGTAGTGGTTTAAGCGGTCCTCACGCCATTTACTACTACGCTGGGTTTTGTGGGTTCGATCCCCACATGGAACGACACTTTGTGTGAACCACAAATTGTTGTTCTGAGTATGGGTGTTCTTTGTGTCCGTTTCATACATGTTTGTAAAGTCCCTCGCGACACAGGATATATTTCTAATGCGGGAGTTGTCTTTTGAAAAGAAAAAAGAGAGAAAAGAATGCTTTTACACTGTTTTTTTATTTACTTACAGGTAAGTTCTGAATGGCAAATTGCAGAAATATAGAGCTGTCAAAAGAGAAGGTAAGTGTGCTCTTTAATAAAACGAAGTTGATCTTATGAACAGCAAGTCGTCAACTAAATTATTCGCTACTTGTAAACGATTTTTAATTAATGATCACATTTTGACAAAATTGCCCACTAGAACATAAACATCTTAACCGATGAGTACTTAAGGATAATTTACATTGAATATATATTTACGTGTCTTTGTTAATTCCGAGAAAGTGCGTATAAATTCGTGCAACCAAAAAAAGCAATGAGATATTTTAAAACGAGGTTGTAATTCGTGCAACTGTTGTAAACAAATAATTTTACATTCATTTAACGCAGCTATAACTTCTTAAATACTTGCAAATTGTGTTTGTTCTGGTTAAATGCGTGTTTAAACTTCCAGATATTAAAGGTTTTTCTTAATTACTAGAATAGCAGAAAATTGGTAGCCGCTTGTTTGTTCTCTAACAGTTATGATGCATGCATGTCCTTTTTAAAAAAGGCGGCAATGCACTTATTACTACTGAGTATTAAGTGTTTATTTGCGGTGGTAATCACTTACTATCAAGTGTACTTGTTTACCACCTATATCACAAAGAAAATCTGAACTGAGTAGTGCTGACATTTAAGACGGAAAAGTTCCCGTCGGCCACTAAAACGAATTATTTTTTTGAAGAAAAAACATTATAAATATAAAATATATACTTAAGTGTATTGTAATGGTTATTGCTTTATGACCACAAATGTGTAATTACAACTGACACGATTGCTTAAACATTCCTTGGCAAACGCACTTTTGCGTTTAAATGGTCTTTCGAGCCGCCATTTGTTACTCTTGTGGTATATTTATAGTTTTATTAGTCACTGGACTCTGCTCTTTATTATTCGCTTTTATAAAATGTTGGAATGTATTATATTGTCGTCACACATTATGAAAAGAATTTTTCAATGTGCGCTCATTGAAATTTGTTGAATATTTGGCTGTACCATTGCAATGCAAAGTGAAGTTTTACACTACATTAAAGTAATAATATCCTCGCGCCTTGTGACAGATTAAGACTACAGCGTATCACCACCCCTATGCATCCAACAACCAAACTACGCAGGACAACAGCACTGCAAAGAGAAGGAAAACCTAACACAAACCCAATACCAACCCGTCTGGCCAGCGTGGTATAGGCTAAAACCTTCTTTAAGGAGAGGCCTATGTCCAGCAGTGGACTATTAAGGGCTGTTGATGATTGATGATCCTCGCACTATCTTCCTGTTTGTTGGTTTCAATAAAGTATAGAGTGGTGATCATGAGGACTGAGGGTTTAGGTATGACCACCTATGTATAATTTTGATGTGGAAGATTGCTGAATACATCCGAAAAATTATACCGACCGAGCAGTTTTCTGGTTTTGTCCAAGCTATTATAACTATAATCTTTTGAAATTCAGACCATAAGAGAAAAATGTACATATGCTCTTCAGTCTGTTAGTTACTGGGGTGAATTGCTAGTAAGCTAATAGAATCTTTCTGAAGTCTCTTTTTTATCAAGACGACTAACAGTTGTGTTACTGCTTTGCTCTTTGTGGCCTTTACATATGACTTACTAGATCCTTCATCTTCTCTTCCTCTTTCCTTCTATCACATCTATTAGAGCTAAGCGCGGACTGCTTATTAGAGTACCTGATATATAAGAACAAGAACATTATAGAAAAGCAATCTCAAACTGTACAAAAAATACTAGCAAGCTGCCATAAAAGCTCAGAGTAATTAACTGTCTTGCAAAACAGTTACGCACGTGGTATTACCCTATTAAACTATGAGCTACGTGAAGTAAATTAATTTTTAATAAGGCTCCGTTTACAAGGGGTTAATAACCCGTTGTCTGCTACGGCGAGGCAGTCAGGTAGCGACCACTAACTATTCTGTATAATTAGCGTAATCGCACACATCGCGTCAGAAGCCCATATATCTTGTGAAAAAGATAGTTTGCAGTTTTGTACCGGTTAGAGATTTGTTGGGATAACTATGAAACCATTTAATGAAAGTATGTGATCAAAGTACTCTCTACACTCTTTCCGGTGCTGTTGTCCTGCCTAGTTTACTCCCTTGGTCGGCTCTTACGACACCCACGGGATGAATAGGGGTGGTGATACTCTGTATACCTAATCCGTCACAACACGGACCGAGTAAGGGTAGAAAATCATAAATTTTGTTCATGTTGTTGACGCTGAACACTGGAAACAACTCCATTTTATTAAATCCGGCAACGCGCATATGGCTCCTGAGTTCCAGGCGTTCATGGGCGGCGGTAGTCACTGCCATAAGGTGAGCCGCCTCTTTGTTTACCCCCTTAAATCATAAGAAAACAGTCTCAATAGCCCAGTATTATTTTATTAATGGTAAGAATCTTCAGTGTGTATGGGAGGATACTCATCATAGCAACGAGCAAGACATGCCACTGGTGTTATAAGTGCTTCTAAGTCTTGGTAACTTTCTTACAAAATTATGAGGATAAAATATCATATTTCATTATAAATCTCACCATTTACCTTAGTTGAAGTTTCTGCAGCGCAATGGTACTTAACAGACTAGAGCATCCTGGATCGCCCGCGGCTTTTATTGTAACCACAGAGTTGTCTAACTCGCTACCGCCTCCCATCTGTGTGGTCGTCCTTGGACGAGCTGTGGCGCGTGTGTGGTCTAACACTACACAGCTGTGATCTACTTTGTATATGATTAGCCTTTGCGTGTATGTGGCGAAAGTTGTGGTACGCTTGGTCTGTTCAAGGACAATGATAAGTGGTGATCGGATCGGCTGTAAGTAATAAATTTTAAGACTTCCAATTTGTAGTGTTGTATTGTATAATAGCCAAGTTATTTTCTACGTAATTAAAAAAGCAAGCAAGCTTAGAAAATTGATAATTAAATAGTCTATTATCTACTCGTATTAGAACTACTAGCAAAAGGTCTCAATAGAGCCTAACGAAATCGTTTGATCGTCGAATATTTTTGAGATAGTAAACAGCGATTTATGACACTTATACGTAAAACCATTCAACCATTGCTACTGCTTACGGAAATATAGACGTTCTTTAATACTATTTACTCGTACTATTATTCTGGTCTTCATTCAAAACTAGACAGAACCTGTACTGTGGTAACCAGATTGCTGAAGAACATACTTACATATTTCTAAATACATGCATATTATATGTGGGAACCGAACCTACGACATCTAGTTTAGCAGTCAGGGTTACTCACCACTAGAGCAACAGGCCGTAAATTTTTACAATGTTTTCACTAACATTTGATAACTGTCGATTACAAATCGGCATGATGAATATTGATAATAAGTATTTGTTACACAATGTTACTTCTTAATTATTGTTGTAATATTTTCACTTTTGATCAAATCCTATTGTTTTGTGGTGATATTGTGTATTGATCTACAGTTTAAGTTAAAAAATAAATGATTTCAAGCATTTAAAAAACAATTAAATGAAGTGAAAATATTCAACTTTCGTACAGAGTTTAACAAGATGCAATATGTCAAAAAAAAACTATTTTCACCCAATGTTTTACGCGAAACTCTGCAATAATTTATTGATGAACTTTTGTGCCAATAAACAATATAGTACAATTTTCCCATAACTTGCTCTGCGATACTTTAAATCTTTGCATCATCACCTTTACTGCACAGGCTATAAAGTTTAAATTAGAAAAATTTGACAGTGTAATTGTTTTGGTAAAGATTTGTAGTGATGTTGAACACTCAAAGTAAATTTTGCAACGACGAAGACTTTCTTCAGTTGTCATAAGATTCACTTTCGCGTGTTTTATCAGTAGTTAAATTTGTCCGGAGTGTAACTAGTTGGTGAGCGCATATTAGCAGCGCTTGATCGTGGTCTTATTGCGAAGGTCTAATTGTAGGGTCTCGACGCCTCGTATGAGCCCTGATCCCTTGTTTGCAGGGCTGTTACTTGCATGTAAATATAATAATGTTGTAGGCAGTAATTTAAAGTAGGTATAGCTTTGATTTTTAATGAATGTTAAAACAACTCATAATCTTATTTAGATGAAATTTGGACTGAACATAGTTTTTTTTTTTTTTGTGAAAAAGATAAAGGAAGGAATATATTCTGTGTCGCGGGGGACTTTACAAACATACATGAAACGGACACAAAGAATACCCAGACTCAGAACAATTAGTGGATCACACAAAGTGTCGTCCCATGTGGGGTTTGAACTTACAACACTCGGCGTAGTAGTAAGCGGCGTGGCGACCGCTTAAACCACTACGCCATCCGTGCAGTCAATAGTTTGATTGTTGAGGATGGTCATATGATACTATTTACCACGATAACCAACATACACGAGGGCGGAGTCGCGGGCAAAGCTAGTCCATATATAAAAATACATATGTAATTATTAATTTAAAATGGCATAACTTGTAGTTCATCGTATTGAATACATGCATAAAAATAACTAGCAACAATACTATACAATTTTATTGACTTTTAATTGAAACAAACACAAAATTGATGAATGATGCATCGCATTAATCTAATAACATACACGTAACTGCAACCAGCAATTAATAGCGAAAGAATACAGGCCGACCAGGGCTGAACGCGCGTGGTCGCGGGCGTTTCTCCATCGTGGTTAATCTGTCGGCGCGGTGTGTGGTGCCCCTAACTCACCGTGGTCCGCCCGGCATCGCCACTGACGGGTTAAATTGAAAAATAAACATTTTGAGTGATGGGAAAACGAGCTCAATGACGTGTGCTCAGGTTGTTGACCTACCGACGTTTGGGATCGCGATATTCGCAAGACTATACTGAAATTAAACATTGTCTTGAAGATCTGTGGGCCGTAATGACATAACGGTATCGTAATTCTTCTGTAGAAGTTAGTGAAACAAACTAATACGAGGTGCTTTGTGGTATAATTCGTTCGTCACTCGCCAGTGTCGAAGCTAATCGATCACACTACTGCCAGTTCTTCCTAAGAAATATTTGTAGAAGGTCCCTAAAAATTCTAAATTATGGTTATGTTAACTACTGTATTATACAATATACAAAATATTTAGGACCGGCTTGATCCCTTGGCGTTGCGTAAAGATGTAGCTTTACTCTGCGTTTTCTATATCTTATATCACGGAGAGTACTCCGAGGAATTGTTTAGACTAAAATCGGCCGCAGCTTTTCGCCATCGTTCCACGTGGAAAAACGTCCATCCCCATCACTTGGATGATTCCACATTGTCCATGGACGGTTCTTACTAACGAGTGACCAGTCCGATCGCTTGCCCCTATACAATCCGTCGTTCTTTGAGTTAAGAACCTTATTACAGTGTTTCGAAACATGAGTTAAGCAAGAATAGTTAGAATAAAAAAATCATGTAAAACAAGTACACGTAACGTGGGTTTTCTTCACCCCTCAAAACTAAACGTTTGTATCATAAACTTAACATAAAAGGATAATATAAGCTCACTCAGCCTATAAAAGTACTATAGTTATTACACTACTTAAGATCAACTCACGCGCATATTTTGCGTGGAAATAAACGCATGCGCATTTCGAACACTGATATTAATTATACGATGCGCCAATGAGCCGCCTTGAGTAAACAAAACCAAAACTCGATAAATCAGAGAGCGAATAAGTGAATATTATAGATTATTATAGTTATGGTGCTCGCAGCCCGCGGCCGTGCGCTTAATGCTTTCTTTACGACTCGACCCACTGATATCGATATAATGTGCTGAGCCTTTTTTATTTATCGTTGCTATGGGTTTAGAGCAATATAATGTAATATTATTTTAATACACCGATTGTGTGGAACTGATGTCTTCAAGTTCTACGAATGATAAATAGTACTGTTCCAAAAATGATTATATCCTAGGCAGGACATTAGGAGGGGTTATTTAATGTCTCAATAATTGCATAAATATACTAACACAATAAATTTCACATTCAAGTATTTACTAATACCAAAAATTTTGCCGTATGGAACGATGGCGGAAAGATGCGGATCTTTCCGCCATTGTTCCACACGGCAAAATTTTCATCCTCATCACCTGGATAGTTGGCCTGGATAATTCTACTACTGTGCGCTTTTCGAGACACTTTTTGCCTCGCACAACCAATCTGTGGAACGCGTTTTAGTCTTTGGTATTTCCGGACCGATACGACCTTCAAACCTTCAAGAATAGAGCATACTCTTTCCTAAATGGCCGGCAACGCGTTTGTGACTCCTGAGTCAGAGGCGGCGATCGTCACTTTCCATCAGGTAACCCGTCTGCTCGTCTGCCCCCACTAACATAAAAAAAATATACGGTACTGATAAGTGGGAAGTAATGTTCAAGAAAAAAATGCCTCTCACGAAGGCCGGCAACGTATTTGGTCATGACTCTTCTTTTATTAGAGGAGGGGGTTCTCCTCAAACTTTTAGTCTACTCGCAGTCAAACAGTCAGCATTAGTCTTTTGTAGGTTTTGTTTGTTTGCTTGAAGCTAAGTCATGAAGGAGAGGATTGTTTAGGTGATGGACAAGTGTTCTTACTGACCTGAGTGTTTACTCGTTCCGTTTAGTGATAATCCACAGACAAAGCTTGTAATGTGTTTGTTTGCCATTTTAGTTGTATAAAAATGTTGTCAAAATGATAATATTAAAAAGAAACTAGTTACAAAGAACCTATTAAGGAAAGTAGTATTTGGACAATTGTTTTCACACACAGTGGTATTGCCCAGGTAGTCTTTATTAAATGTAAATTTTATATTAACTTACCTTATACAATGTCAATTAATTATCAAAAATAATAATTATTTTAGAACATTATCAGTATTTTTATCTACGTTTACCTCATTTAGTTGCATTAAGTCGGTTTTGATTTATAATGCATTATAATTTTTATTTAGGGACAGTGCAAAATCTTGCCACCTAAAAGCCTGTTTTTTAAAACAATTCTACAAATAAAGAAGTAGGTAATAAAAACAAGACATTAATCCGTAGCGGTCGCTTTTATCGCGTAATATTCTGAATATATCCGTTTCGTGTCCCGGGTATCGTTATCGGGTGATGTCGCCAAAACTCGACGGTATCGCGCCGCTAAAAGCATACATCCATCCGGTGCAGGTACCTTGCGATTATGAACTGCAAGGTTTACATAGCGCTACCTAATAAACTACGTACTAATAAACTGATATACAAGAATTTAAATTTGATAGAATTAGAATCAAATTTTCGTGACCGGTTTATGTACGGCTCTACTCACGTGTATATTTTGGTGATACCCGGCCCAACTAGCGGCCTGTAGCGTCTTACCACAACTATATGACGCCTGAAACTGTGCATTCTTTAAGAAACTTAATAAAACTTTTAAAATTTTGGGTTAATTCTTATGTTATTTATTTTAAATAAGGAAACTAAGGAAATGTAAGGTATAAAAACTTTTAACAAACAAAAGATGCTTCCAATATACCTCTAGTAAAACATTAATGTGTGTCATAACTCGGTGTGTTCGTGGGTCACTGCTGTGGATCCTGGTGTACAGGAGTTACAGTGTTGGGCGTGTGGGTGGGATTAGTCCCAGTAAAAAAAAAAAAGAAAAAAAAAGATGTCCTAAAAAAAAGGGAACATTTCTTTTTCAAATGCATTATTAAAATCGCCCCATATAAACCATGCCTGTATTAATGCATCGGCATAATTTTATGCAAGTCGGCGCCCGCGGCCCAGTCTCCCTGCAGTCCTTGATAACATTGCTAATGAGCTGAGTGTACCTTCGTACAGTACAGTCGGTCTACCTCTGACTGTCAGTGTTCGTTTCCATGATATTGACTCACGACACGCAAGCATGCTAAATGTTTGACTTACAAGTACCTGTCTGCCTCGGTGGTGCAGTGGAAGCGTATGCGACTGGTATGCTGAGGTCTCGGGTTCGATTCCCGGGTCGGACCAAATGTTTGTATGATCTGCAAATATTTGTTTGTTAGTTTGAATGTTTTTAATATGTATGTTTTTACAAAAAAAAATATATATTCTATCAGTCAATCTAGCTTTCATAGTACAAGCTCTGCTTAGTTTGAATTTTCTTTTTGTAATATTTAGGTTAGTGGTCGTGACTGCAGACCAAACGGTTGTGGGTTCTAAACCAATAATTAGGTGATTATCACCATTATTTATAGACATTTTTGAATCGTAAAACCAATCTGTGGAACAAAATATTATCGCCTGCGTTATTTCCGATCCGATACAACCTTCAAGACTATTCCAAAGGTCGGCAACTCACTGGTGACTCCTGTGTTGCAGGATGAACCTGCAACACAGCAGTACAGGGCGGCGGTAGTCACTTACCATCAGGTCAACCGTCTGCTTGTTTGCCCCCCCCATAGCCAAAAAAAATCTGTCTAATTTGAACTAAGAGAGTTGCGTGTAAGATGTCAAATGCTGAACGTGAGGAAACTGCTCATTCAATATTTACTCAGAAGATTATACAACAATAACATCAACATTTACATATTAGACTAAAGACACATCACCATCATCATCATCAACAGCCTTTAGTAGTCCACTCTTGGACATAGGCCTCTCCTTAGAAAGGAGGTTTTGGCATAGAATAACACGCTGGCCAGAAGGCCAACCCTTAGGCCATAAGGTTTGTTTCAAGTTTTCCTTCTCTTTGCAGTGCTGTTGTCCTGCGTAGGTTGCTCCCTTAGTCGACTCTTACGACATCCACGGGATGAATAGAGGTGGCGACAATCTGTATTCTAAATCCGTCACCACACGGTCACCACTAAAGACACGGTCTTCGTAAAATCACACTCCGAACTCTTCGTGTTTCTAATCCATTAATTTAAATCAAATTAATCACTCAGTATAAAATGTTATTACTTTTTAATGATATCACACAGACATTTGACTATAAACTAGTTACCCTTATCACACATGTAGTTGTCCAAAATATCTATCACAGTGAGTGCTTATTACAGTGAATAGGCGCACATAACTCGTTAGGAGGTAGACAAATTTTGTTAAGTCGATTTATCAGAGTGCACTCTAAACAGACCAAACTGATGCTTGATGTGTTTTTAATAACTCTGCACTTCACCTAACTACCTGGTACTTATATTCTTGTACTTAATTTAAACAAAGTAAAACGGCTTGCATGTAATTATTTATTTTGTGTTATTTTTAAATTAAGTTTCCTTTACACGTTATTTGTGTAAATGTAATGGAAGTTATGTTTCGATTGCATTCAATTACCCTTTATGCCCTTCAGTTCAGTTTTGCATCCAAGTGTATTTTAAATTATCATATTATCCTATTTGTATAAAATCTCCCTCTAGTTTATTCTAGTCATCGATAATATCTTTAGCAGGAATCTAAATTGTTCATAATCTATATTTATTATTGAGATTCGTGTTTGAGGAAATAGCTGTTTAAAAAGAAATATCCACATTGGTAGTTCTTAACTTAAACTAGAAAAAAAACATTCATTAACCCTCTAGTGTCATGGCCCCACACTACCAGACTGCTGGCATGGCACAGCACATCGTGTGTTCATAAGAAAGGGGGTTGATTGACCGCTTCCTCCTCACAAACCGTCGCATTTTGATTTATGCCACCAACCCCTTTGTTTTCTGCCTTCCTAGTGCATTCATTACTTTCCGTTTTGTTTTTTCGGCGGTTTAATTCATGGTAATTTAATATCAACCCTCCATTTTATAGTGCTATTATTGAAATAGAATTATGTGACCATATTTGAATTAACTTTTTAAATAAACAACGATTTGAGCGACAGTTTGAAAGAATCAAAGGATCGAAGTACATTTATTCATGTTTCTGTATAACATTTTCGCTTTCCATTATTTTATTTTAAGTTAGGTCTCAGTTCCGTCCTTTTTAGTGAGCTATACCTACTAATATCAGTCTTATCAAAACTCTCCTACCAGTTTAATGGTTGTAGTATCGCTTTTAATAAACTATTTACCTAAACCTAGGTACATTTATTGGCAAATAGGAATTTTATAATAACAAAGAACAAATTTATTTTAATTGAATAGCAGTCACCCAGAATAAGAAAAGTGTGAGTTTAACCGTAAGATAACCATTAACCATCATCATCATCAACAGCCTTTAATAGTCCACCACTGGATATAGGCCCCTCCTTAGAAAGGAGATTTTGGCCTACTAAACCACCCGGGCCAGACGGGTTGGTATAGGGCTTGTGTCAAGTTTTCTTTCTTTTTTGCAGTGATATTGTCCTGCGTGGTTGATTGGGTCCACGGGATGAGTAGAGTGACTCCGTGTATTCTTAATCCGTCATAACACGGAGAGAGAGTCATGCTTCGTCACAAATGGGCAGGCTCGAACAGAGTGATACACACTTCATAGAAAACTGGTGATAAGCATACTTTCATCAAGTGAGGTTGTCGGAGCCAAAGCCTTCTGATTCTGGACCTCCTAATGCAAACCTGGCAGCAATGCAGTTGTGACCCTCGAGTTGCAGGTGACCATGGACGGCGGTAGTTACTTTCCACCAGGTGACCCGTCTACTCGTTCACCCCATTACCATAAAAAAATCTTTATTGAAACGCTTTAAGAACAAATTTATTTTATAAAGCTATCAAGAGCGAATGTGAGTCAGAATAAGTCAGTACTGAAGCTGGTTGCCTGTTCCAATACTTAGGTTCCATGCGAAAAAATAGGGGTGAAATTGAAGGTTCTTTGCGAGGGGGAAGACATGAAAGAAATTAAAAGTATACGTTTTTTAGTTACTTACTAATGAAAATTATTTTCGAGGACAATATAACATAATTTTCTAACAATGAAAATTCCCCTCTAATTGCTATTGTAGTTCAATTAATAGCAGTCCAGAGATGACCGGCCTCAACCAACGGGTTCCTTTCATCTTTATAAATATATATGTATAATAGCTTATGATTCAGAATTAGTAGATAAGGTTACCACAAAAGAAAATTGTAACTCTTAGAAATTAAAAATCACCATCGCTAACAAGTTTCAAAATCCATATTATAAAAGTTTCTTTAAATTTGTCCCTTGATTAAACTGTTTCACAAAAATGATAATGCGATGGTCATAATTTTCTATTTCTTGATTCTTTGGACACACAGTTAGAACCACTGAGATCAAATATGCTTTCTTTAGCGCCATACTATGGTCGACAGGCTTAAAAAGTCATACAAAATGTATGTAAGTGACTCTGTTTACTACATTCATTCATACTATGAGTCCTGCAAAAACCATAACCAACAAAGTTATTTAAGCTTTCCATCCTTCGCCAACGGTCGTAATTTTTTCATTATGTATTTGTATTATAAAAAACGTTAAACCTCCCACTATGTCTAAAACTTCGAACATCTGTATTTTGTTATTTTTTAGCTGTGCGTGTGCTTCACCCATTAAGACCACACAAAATCTATTTACCTCAAACACTATAAATGTTTATTAAAATCTCTCATAAGACAATAAATCATCTAACGGTTTGTATAGGGTTGTTCTCTCAGTGGGGTTTGCTTAAAAAATGGGCAAAATCATGACACCCCACTAAGCCAAGGGCCTCCTTGAGAACCATTATATTAAACTTTTAATAGTCATCGTTATCATCATGATAAATAAATAAAAACATCTGTCAACACATGCCATGATCTTCGTTATTCATTAATTATCGTCTATGCTTGTAGCAATGGACTTAACAGGGGACAGGAATTATTACGATCTATTCACTGCCACGTAGGCGCAGTAGGTAGCGTATGCGACTGCTGTGCTGAGGTCTGGGTTTCGATTCCCGGGTCGGACCAAATGTGTGTATGATCTGCAAATATTTGTTTCGGAGTTTGGATGTTTTCTAATATGTATGTATTTACAAAAAAAAAAGTAAATACATAAGTATTCTATCAGTCAATCTAGCTACTAGATGGCGTTGTGTGTCAGATGTCCTAAAAAAAAAGAGAACATTTCTTTTTCAAATGTAACATACGATGCTAATACCTAGAAATTTCACTTAGTTTATCTAAATGATTTGAATATATTATTTGTATGTAGTAGTCAAGTAACTGGCAACTTTGGTCAATCACTATTTAAATATCAAATTGGGTATATCGTTATGAGATAAATAATATACGCAATTTCAGTGCAACATTTTATGTAGGTAAGAAACACTATACAGCATAATTCGAGCATAGATCTGTCATAATTTATTCATAACCTACGCTTGGCCTAATCTATTTAGGATTTATCTTGCCCGATGTCGCAATCGCGAAGTCCAAAGATCTTGAAAAAGTAGGTACAGGCTTATACACATATTTAGTACGAAAGAACGGAAATTATCGTTC